GCATTTCTCGGCATCACCGCACCACCCAGTGCACGTAAAGCACAGAAGTAGCCACCTCGGCGCCGCGACGTACGCGGAGAGCCACTGCTGCGGTCCAGTGCAAGCCCACTGAGCATTGAAATCAGCAGCGGCGTCCCTCGGCGGCGCGCGGCCGCCGCCGCGCCGCCCACCGCCCCCCATGACCGGGTGACACATCCGATCAGGCGACACGCCGGCCGGCACCCGCGCCGCATGCCCGATGAGACCACCCTCGAGTGACGTCACGGCGCCGGGCCGGCCTCATCCGTCATCGGGTGACGGCCGGACCGAGCGGCTGCCCCGCGACCGGGGACGTGTCGCCGGCCGGCCGGCTCGCGAGACGCCGGCGCCGCTGCAAAAACCCACGGCCGCTCAGCTGATGCGCGCTGAGAAGCTGGCTGTCTCATGCACAGGATGCGTGCACGGGGATTTGTTTGATGTTTTCCCGAGCGGCAGTAGCTGCTGTTTATCCCAGACCCGTACGGAGAGGGAAGTTTTTGCGTGTGAGGATCAACCAATTTATGGTATAAAAAAAGAAAAGAAACCAATTTATGGTATAAATTGCATTCTTTCATGATTGTATGCTTTCAGTTTAGCATCGGTCGTTTTTTTAGAGCGAAATGTGAATGATTGCGTATTTCGCGTCTCTATAAGAGGCATGGATAGATGTCGTTTTTGCGTTTTGCTACAGTGGTGTGATAGACTACGTTTCAGCTCCACTCTCTCACACTCGACGCTCCTCAAGGCGCTATCGTCTCAGAATCCCAAAACCCGGCATTCGAAACGACCGCCCGGCGTACGCCCCAGATAGCTGGAGGTGATCACGCGCCGTTACTGTCACCGGCGCGCCGCGCGTGGCATTCCTGGGGCGGCGCGCCAAAAATGCCCGGAGTGCCCTCCTGCGGCCGGCTGTCGTCCCAGCTCTATCGGCCCGCTATCGCCCAGCTCTATCGGTCGCTTCATCTCCGCCCGACGGGGGTCCATCGCTCCGGGTGACGCTCCGTCGGCGCCGGTGTCGGCAGACCGCCTCCAACGGCCGGCGCCGGCCATGGGGCCATGCGGACCCTTTAGGTGGCCGGGACAGCACCGAAGGCTTCAAGCAGTGCAGTGCCGTTGAGTCCAGATGCCGTGGATTTAGTTAGTTGTTAGGTTTTAAAGGCGCGTCAACTGCGATGGCTATTTGCGCTGATGTCATGGTTTGTGCATTGCAGGTGAGGCTGCGGTGAGCTCTTCGTTAATGGCTCTGTTTGAGGGTGGTTTAGTCGTAGCTGCTGTCTGAAACGGATGCATGCATTTGCTTCTGCCAAGTATAATTAAGCCGTCTTTTACCAGCTAATGAATCTTTTACCAGCTTTCGCCATTCCGTCAAGCGCCGGGGCTTAGAGTCAGTAGCAACTCCGCGGGGACATAAACAGCTTTATCGATACCGGATCAGTCTAGCCAGTCTTTCTGTCGCCGGTGAGGATTTGCTATGATCTCCGTGGTCATCGATCATTAACCACCACAGAACTTAAGCCAGCAGCACCCAGAATATGTCTGACAAGATTCTGGTGGCCAGGTAAATCGCTTATCAATGGCCGGTAACAGCCGGAAATCCATTAACTGCATGACATCTGCGGTCAGCAGTAAGACGCACTGTATATATTACATGCTCTTCTTACCTAACCACCGCTGTCCGCCTTGATCTGCCGCTGGTTTATGTGGATGCCCTCCCGTTGTGCACTTACGTAAGAATTTTACGAAATAACAAAGCGTACGGCCGAAACGGACCGTGCGTGTCACACAACCTCTGACGCTACGAGCATTTATCAACCGCTAAGCACAATCGCATTCCCGACTCATCTTAGCTGTGGAGTTTGCAATGCACACAGCAACTGCGTGTCCATGTGGATGATTTCAAGGCAGCTCATCCATTTTAGATAGCCTTGCATTTTGAGCATTCCATCGGAAGATCTACCACACATAGAGCCGGGCCTTCAGCGGCGGGGTCTACGTCAGCGCTGTGAAACGCCGTCAGTTTTTCTCCGCCGGTCGCCGGAGGACCGCACACGGCTCGGCGCGTCTCGAGCGGCGGCCGGGTGGCGTCCGCGCCCGAGTGGCCGGCCGTCCGCGGCGCAGACAGCCGTGAAACGCGCCCGGACGCGCGCCGACGCGTGAGGAACACACACATGGGGCGCGCCGACAGGTGCGCCCGAGATGGCGGCCGGTGCTGAGAGCGGCCCCCGCTGGGGGAGGTCGGACGCAGACCGGCGGCGAGTTGGGCCCGGCCATCCTCCTCCCAGGATTGCCCTCTGCACCGCCCTCTTATGCAGTATCCGATACGGCGGGGCGTGGAAGTGACTTGTGTCTGAACCCCGTGCTCTGGTGTGGTCTTCACGCCCAAACTCTGCGTTTTCCCGAAGTTATGCATAAACATCTGGTCGCATGCGCACTCATCTTATGCTGTCATCGCTGGCGTTTTTGATAACCCCCACTAAAAGGCTGTGAGTAGCATCTGCCGATTTCGATGGTATCTCCAGTTAGTTTTTTTGTAGGCTTGCTCGGGTGCGTTTTTTCGGTCGTTGCGCAGAGCGTGACGTGGTCTGCCGTGACCTGGCTGGATGGAATCTCGCGATTCTTATCCGCTGGATAACAAGGCCGGTCAGTGAGCGACTTGTCATGCGGAAGAGTGGTTTTGAAGTATTCGCACAGTATGGCACAGCGTGCAGGCAGCTGCATGCTCTGCCGGTACGTCTGCAACAACGCCGCATTCCACTGGCCACTGGGGAGCCGCGTCGATTTAATTCTCTCTCGCTGTCTCTTGTGCCGGCGAGCTGTTCTGTTATTCGTTTGGCTAGAAACAGTTTCGTTCGGCGGCTACGTCGCTTATTTCGATCCAGGCTCCTGTCGCCTTACCAGTCGTGCAGTTCTTTGTTCGGATTTTGCATGGATCAGATGTGGAGCGAGTGGAGTAATCCTTAGTATCTGATGAGGAAACACGCCGTCATACATGTGACAGCTTCCTTTTTAAATGTCTGTATTACGTTGTGCTCCAGAAAGTGAGACTCAAGGCCATGCTAATTACTGGTAAAACAGAAGGCTTTTGAAAAAGGAAAGCCGATAAAGCTTGTATATCTTTGCAAACCTTATGCAGAGACTGTTTAAGAAACCAACGCTTTGGCTCTTCACCAGAATGAGCCATGTGTCCAGATACACATTCATTAGAAGCTTGAAAGCATGTTGTTGAAATCTTCGGCATAGTAAAAAGTGGCGTCTTAGTTGGAGACCAGAAGCAGCTCGGGGTGCAGTACTGGGACTGAAATCGGCCTTGAAGTCACGTGTGCTTAGTGAATGTAAACAAGGAGGCTCTTCTTCATTAGATGAACTTGTCATGTAATAACTACCCGGTCAAGATATAAAACCATTTTAGACATTAAAATTGCTTGGGCACTGTCTCAAGACGAAATGAGACACATTTCATTGGTTTCAACACATTCCTGCTCACGAGACGGCGAGAAACAAAGCCACCGGACCTTCTCCGATCCACTGTGACCCCAGGACATCTGCGATGTCTCTCTGATGACGTACGGAACACATCCATCTTCCCGCACGCCTGATACGCTGGCGTGACTGCGGCCCGTCGTACCCCTTCCGGTTCCCATCGCGCTGAGCCCCCCTCCCCCCTCCCCCCCCCGCAGTACGTCACCGGCGCGGTGTGGTGACGCGCGCAGCACCGCAGCGGCCGGCGGTCGACCCTCCCGAATTAATCAGCGCTACAGGTGTTTTTGCCGGCGATGTGCCGATAGGGCCACTTAGCAGCGCGACCAATTAGCGGGCGAGCCGGCTGCGACCGCCGATGCAAATGAGCTAACCGGAAGGAGCCGACTGGCAAAGGTAGCCGCCGGAAGCGACAGGTCGAGCCGCGGAACGCCTGTAATGCGCGCCGCCACCGCGAGCGTCGCCGCAGTGCGCCGTTTTTCCGCCGCTGCCGCCGCCGCCGCCGCCGAGTGGAGCCGAAAAAGCGGCTGCAGCTGATGCAGGACAGCCATGCGCCGGCGGCCGGGCGCGCCCCGCCGCTAACGAGGGCGCCGCTCGGTACCGCGCGCTGCAGCCACGGCAGCCCCGCCGTCACGGCCGGCTCGCGGCGGGCCGGGCCCCACCCTGTCCGGGACGGAGCTGCTCTCAGGCTATCCTGCGCAGCAGTCGGCGCAGCGTCCCGTTGGTGCCGCGGTTCGTCGTGCTCATCGGACGAAAATGACTGATTTTGCTCATCGACGTTGAACGGACCAGGGGCGGGCCTGCCGTCACCAGGAGTACCGCGACAATAGCCGGACTGTACCGCAGCCCGGCTGGCGCCATGGCTCGGCACGCCGCCGCCGGCGCCGAGGCCATGGCGGCGCCGCTGCGGTCCGCTGCGTCCTCTCGTTAACGATCTACTTCGCGGCGCGTTACGGTCGCGATAACGTGACTAATTAAGAGACGGCACAGCCGTCCGGCGGCGCTGCAGGGTGACGGCTCTTCCGCCGGCCCCGCCGAGCGGCGCCAGGCTCGCTCGCGTGTCGCCCGCCGGCCTGACGTGTCGCCGCCGCTCCCAGAGTTCCCAGGAGACGGGCCCGACGACTGCCAGCGAGGCCGTAATTAAAGCCGTTTGTTAAAGAGCTGACAGTGATGTGGCGTCTTCTTCCCAGGTCGGTCGTGGCCGTGGTGAATATTTGCATGTTGATGGTCTTGCACGTTGTCTGGTCCGTTGCTGCGCTGGCTCGTCAATGAGTGAGACTGTGTATCTGAGTTTTACACGTGTGCCTGCTCTAGGACATCAGGTGAAAGAACCGTTAGCGGCTATGATGGTGACTTCAGTTACTCACGCCGCCAAAACGTGGCCGTTGGTCTGCACCTGAACTAACAAAGCATTAACGACGAATACTAATGAACTGACAGCGAGTGATCGGTCTATGTGAACCTCTAATGTCCATTGTTCTGACCCTGCCCGTCTCCGTTTTCAGGGAAGAAGTGGCGGAGCCTGACGCCCCACGACCGGCGGCCGTTCGTCGAGGAGGCCGAGCGGCTGCGCGTCCAGCACATGCAGAAGCACCCCAACTACAAGTACCGGCCGCGCCGGCGCAAGCAGGCCAAGGCGAAGGGCGCCGTGGCCGGCTCGCGGTCGCAGGGGCAGTCGGCGGCGCGCCAGGAGCGGGCCGAGCCGGAGCCGGTCGCCGCCGACCCGCCCGCCGTCTTCCCCGTCAAGCAGGAGGAGGAGCTGGCCTGCGGCAGCGGCCAGCCGTTCGCGCGCTACGGCAAGGAGGCGGCGTACGGCTTCACGGGCCTGAGCACGCCCGACACGTCGCCGCGCGGTAGTCCGGAGGCGGGCGGGGCGGCGCCGTACCAGACGGTCGGCTACGGCGCCGGCGGCGGCCAGTACGGCGAGCCGGCGCCGGCGAACGTCGGCCTGCCCACGCCCGAGATGTCGCCGCTGGAGGGCGACAAGGCGGCCTGCGCGCCGGTCGCCGCCGACGACAACCCCGTGTCGCACCTGATGAACGTGTTCGGCTCCGGTCGCTCCGGCTACCTGAAGCACGTGAATCAGCCGTACGGCGGCCGGCTGGGGCTCACCGCCCGCGCCACGCCCGACCCGTGCACGCCGCCGCCGCTGGTGTCGCCGCAGTACGAGTACTACGGCCGGCCGGCCGACAGCCCCGTCGCCGCCTACCAGCAGCAGCAGGCCGCCGAGAGGGCGTACGAAGGTAGGTCGCTGACGCAGTGGGATCAAAATCGCAGTGTTCCTGTGCATTGCGTCGCTTTTCTGTGCGAAAATGGTCAGAGTAAGAGCTCCCTGTAACGGAACTGGAGCCGGGGTGACGTTCGTCGCTGTGAGCGGCCGAGGACGCCGCCCGGTCCGGCCGCTCCCGAGACACGCACTTGTTTGCGCGCTGCTCGCGAACACGGCGCCAGCGCGACACCGGCCTGCCGCCGACTGCGCAAGCGGCCTGCGTCGCGTGTCGGTGTCGCAACCCGCGCCGTATGCTGATGGCGCGGCGCGCTGAACTTGAGGCGGCGGCGCGGCGCCGGCCGCGTTTGACCGGTACCAGACGTCATCGGCGCCCGTTCCCACAGGAACCTGTCGTGCATGGGCGGATTAGAGTGACGCGCTCGCCCTGGGATCACGTGAACCTTGCCCGGTCGCCGGGTGGTTTTCGCGGCGACCTCGAGGCGGTCCGACTGGATTGGTTTTTCGCGGAACCCGTACGTGGCGGGGCGACCATTCAGCACATGTTGGATATGGAATGGTGATATATGTTGGCAGTAGCCAACAGGTCTGCAGTTGGTCCCAGTGGGAACTAAACCAAGGCGACCCCCCCCCCCCCTTTGGTGTGGGATTTCGGTTTGAGCGCGCTCACGTCCTTGCTTCCCTGCATCTGGAACTTTTAGTTTAGGTTTCATTCCACGCAGCTCCCATCCATCCACCCATCCACGTTCCATCCACGTTGCATCTCACCTCCACGAACTTTCTTTCCTCCCACCCGCACGTACCACCGTGGGTGGTCAGCCTTGTCTCCACCTCCCCCGTCACCCGCGCCTCCGGTGACCCTCGGCGCGCGCCGCCTCGGCCTGCCCGTGACGTGGGCCGCGCGGCTGACCGGCGACCGGGGCCGGTGACCGGCGGCAGGCCGCCCCCGTGATGGATCCGCCTGTTAGCCGCGAGACGCACAGGCGACCCTAACTGATGGACGCACGTCGGTCGCGCCCGCCGGATTGGCTGCTGCTAATCTATTCGGGGCCGGGCTGGCGACGGCGCGACCGCGATGGCGGCCAGTCGGCGCCGCTCGCAACCCCTCGCCGTTCGCGGGGGTGCTCGCGGCGCGGGGCGAGGCTCGCCTGGTGAGATCATCGAAAAACGGGGGGTGCCGTCTGCTTAGGCACCGCGAAAAATTGTGAATACGCCCAGAATTTGGTTTGCGGTGGAAGCCATTTTCACGTGACTCGTAATCATTCTGCGGTTTTCTGTTCCGCAACTGATATTTTGCAACATCAGCTTGGATCGTGTTATATCATGCCATATTGCGTTTGTGAGTTATATCACGGGCTGTTAATTTCGAGCTAGCGGGCCTCGAGGGCTTCCGAGGCCGTGTCTGTTTACATCTCTGATTAAGCTTGTACCTTCGAAGGTGCGGTACAACTATTATGTGACTCGCGGAATGTATGAAGTTAGTGTAATCACTCGACCGACAACATTTCCCCTTAAGCCCCATGAGTCGTACATCAGCATCAAACTTGCGGTCCAACTGTGACTGCAGGTAACGCTGGGACCACCGGGGCGATTTGATCCGCTTTAAACTGCACATTTGCGCCAGCCCAGCCAAGCCCGCCGTCATCCACCCTCTTCGCTATCTTCCGCCTGAAGTGGGGCAACGATCCCACTACAAAAAGGATGTTATGTCACCCATCGACCCGGTGCCAGCCTTGTTTGTCAACGAAAAAGGTGTGATCTCAGGGACAGCGGCCCCCGGGAATATGTATGAGCTAAGAGCACGCAGAGTCGGCCGTGTCGATGCAAGTCCAATGAACCGATTGTGCAACGGCAGCATACCGATGAGAGCGGCGTTCGTGCGCGGTCTCACGCGTTCTCTTGGCGTCGGTGGGAGGCGCGCGGCGGAGGCCGAGGCGGGTCTGGCAGACAACGACCCGGCCCGTGTATGTGTATTGAACTGCCCCAGCAGCAGCAGCGATTGGAGCTTGGAAATGTAACTGATTGGGCTAATGCCGTCAGCTTTAACGAATCGGTTGGCATTGGCGGGCCGGCGAATGGGTGCATAGATGGGATATGTAGCTGCTCGAGTCGAGCTCTCTCGGCGGCATGGCAGGAAATAGCGGCTTGATGTCACCGCCGCCGTACCAGCCACCCAAGGTCGACACGGATGAGGTCAGAGGACCGGGGCCGCGGCCAGCGCGCCGGGCCGCGCCGCCGCCGACTGGACGGCCAGCCCCGGAATCTGGCAATCCGTGCGGTGTGTGGCAGCGCGCCGGGGGCTGGCGCGATCCATCACGGGCCTAGCGGCCGCTTTAGCTGGCGTCTGTCGGCCCGCACTGATAGAGATCTGGGGACATGGCTGAGCCGTCTGTCAACACAGAGCCGGACCACCGGCCGAGCTGGCGGCTGCAGTCGGACGGCCGCCGCAGCCGTACACAGAGCGCCATTACTCTCGGCTGGCGCGTGGGATCGGCGTGGTGCCGTTTGGCGGTCTAAACGGAAGTGTGATAGACGGGAGCGTGGTTTTACAAAAGCAGTGGGAGAGAGCTGCACTAAATGAAAATGACCTCAACTGTACCCATGTTCACGCCAGATCCCACTTCCCCACGGATGTAGCCTCCTCTCCCTGCGAAGGTGGAGGGCGGGGCTCACGGCACAGATGGAGGATTGGAACTGCTCCGACCGAAAGGAAAACTGGAAAGGAAAACCGAAAAACCCATGGTGATGGGCGCGCGAGAGGTCGTCGCTCAACATGCGTTGTCGCTCTATCCACTGCGTCGGCATCCCGCTCATGCTGTGTCTCCGCCTGTTGCAGACTACATGATGGAGCAGAAGCACCAGGCGTCGCAGATGGGCTACCACGGCACGTCGCTCGGCTCGCCCCTCGGCTACTCGCACGCTTCCGTGGCGCCCGGCCAGGCCGTGCCGTGCCCCGTGCCCGTGCCCCAGGACGACCTCGACGTGGACCGCAACGAGTTCGATCGCTACTTGAAGGGCATGCAGGGCATGGAGATGCACCAGCTGTACCGGGCCGAGCGGGCGGTGCACGAGGCGCCCTGCGTCGGCGGCGGCGTCGGCGGCGGCGGCGGCGGCGGCGGGCTGGTGACGAACTATGCGCAACAGGCGCCGCCGGCGGCGCGCCAGGCGGAGCGCAAGTACGACTACGCGCCGGCGCCGCTGAAGGAGGACTGCGCCGGCCTGGACGGCGGCAGCTCGACGCTTCTCTCGGCGCTGGCCGGCTACCGGGAGATGTACTACGAGTCGTGAGAGCCGCGGCGCGGCCAGGTGTCGGCTTAGGCGAATTGTGGGGCGAGTGACGAACGGCCAGGCAGCGGCGCTGGGGGCAGGGGGTGGATCGGCGAGGGGGGGGGGGGCGCAGAGGGAACCAGGTGCGGGCGGAGAGAGAAGAGGAGAAAGGGTAAGCTAGTGATTGTGTGAGCGCTTGAGAGAGGGAGAGAGAGAGAGAGAGGGAGAGAAATATACATATATATATATATATATATATATATATATATGCGTCTGGGTGAAACAGAGCACGAATGAGCGAGCAAAAGGTCCTGACGCTGGGCGTTAGGAAGAAAATGTGTGGGACGTGGAGATTTTAGAGATCGCATTGAAAAACAATAAAGTGGAAAAATATTGGGGGTGAGTGAAAGGCTAGCGACGCATTGTGGGATGGAGCTATAAGCCAGGCCAAGGGGTGGCGTTTACTCTGCCGTGGGGATAATCAAAGCCGTTTGCCAAGGTTGTGTATTTGTTATTTATTTTTTCTCCAAAGATTTATTGCAAACCATGCCGACCGTGGCTAAGGCTGTACCAGGTTTGCTCTGTACATAAGTCCAGTTGTGGGAAGCACACAGGCCCGTAAGATTGCATGTGCACTGTGCTGTTCCATGTCTCGAATGCGTGTACGAAATCTGTGCCGTTACTCCTTCGCTTGCTTTGTATGCTGGTCGCTGCGTTTTTATATTTATTGACTTGCCGCAGCGGCGAGTTTTGTTCAGGTGGAGAGATTCATTTCAGCTGTCCACTGAAGTGAAGTGATCATAGACTGCTGATGACGACCAATATTTGTTCGCACCTGACTTACCTGGGGGCGCTAATGACGACCAATACTTGCTCGCACCTGACATAAAGATATACGAGTTCATGAGAAAGTGATCAAGATGACATCTACTGCTTGTTTTCAACTTTGCAAACGTTTATTCCGGCGAATCAGCAAGGTTTCCTCTTGCGTTTCCTCGCCGGGTGATACACGTTCTGAGTGGTGTGCGAATGTCCAGTTTTGTGATCAGTGCGCCGCTTGTTTAGATACAGATGTGTGTACTGTTTTCATCGGTCGTTTTGTCGTTTAGTGACAACGATGTTATTGGAGTGTAATATTCCTATTCAGATTAATAAGAGCAATGACGTCGCTAAGAGACACTTCATTTGCCTTCGATATAGGACACCGTGGTAAAGGGGCCGTTACTGACGACGTAGGCTTCTTCGAAGCTCCGTGTCAGCTTCATCACGCTGCAAGAATAGCTACATCGTTGCTGATTGGCCAGATTTCGCTCACATTCCTCTGATAGTCAAATCAATGTATTAAGCATGAGCGCGACAACCGTTTATGCTTCGAGGTTTTTCATGCAACACCATAGACCTAGCTGAATCACTCACAAAATTTGATTTGGTCGAGTTCTTAGCGTCCTCGTTTGCCAGATCAAGGTTACGGACATGTATGTATTCCTGCAAGTCCGTCTGTGCTGGCGTAAATGCATTTTGAAGGATAAAGGCATTCAGCTAGGCCAGAAAAGACCTTGCCAAATATGCGCTAAGAGCTGCGATATTTGTTCCTCTTAAAGAACAGCTGGATAACTTGTCCCCCAACCCTCGCGCATCATTGTGAATTGCTTCGTCTCTTCTGTCGTAATAATCGGCCACGAGCAACCTTCCATTCACTGCTTCCACACGGGGTTGTCAATGGTGAGGATGATTGTTATGATATATGGGTGGTAGGAGTGTTTTTCAGAGTAAATGATCGATACTAGTTGAGTCTGCGTAATGAGCGAATGCGTTTATTTGTTGTTTGTACGAGTACAATGATGCAAGCATACCATTCCGTGTAAAATAAATATAATATGTAGAGACAAATGTACATGAACGCACGAACATATTGTCAAACTGTCAATACAAAATACCCAAGATCGAGTGATCTTTCTCAGTGAGCACGCGCGAGGAAGGGCGGCCTGGCGGAAAATCAACAAACGAATATAAATATGCAACCGCTGTGTTACCCGAACGAGACCAATCGCATTCCGGCGGGCCGTGGTGAAGTAATTCACTCGAAACCGAAATATTTTATGTTCAGTACGTAAAAGGAGCCTCCATTTATCGGCAGTACCTTAAGGCAGTATTACGACATTAGATTAATTGAACCTGCCAAACAGTTGCTTATTTTCATTTCAGTTAATTTTTCTTGTTCCTTCGGACTCCTCACTTTATTTTCAGTTCTGTGACACCGTTGATGGAGCAAAATATTTCAAAAGGGATTTTTCAACCCCCAAAATCCAAAAGCTTAAATATTCACAGCCGGCACATAACAACAATTAGGGAAAATATCATCCCAATCATCCTCTGCAGGTGACCTGTTCACTACTCATGTGCACTAAGCGGTCACCGCTTGGATGGCTGCCAGCAGATTCGCAATCTCGGCTTTCTCCTGAACACCAAACTCCTCTTCGCCAATAAAACAGATTTGATTGTCTCAAAGCGAACAGTATGCTGGGCCTTCGTATACAACGTGCGCAAATGCCGTCGTGTCTTCATCAAGTGCGGTTCAATCATAAGTCTTCGCTGTGTTCCTTCAACGCTCATATGAGATTATGGATCGTGAGTGCAGGGGTGTTATTTGGAGCGGTGCTGCCGTTTTCCAGCTCGCCCGATTCGACCGAATGCTACACCGGTTTCTCATGCGGTTGGGTTCGAGTACCCAGTCCCGGTGTCTTCCATTGGACTATGAGTCTCTCCTCGCTTATTTCAGAACATCATCTATCAGGGCCCGCTTTACTCGGCCCAACATCCAATTTATATACAACGTGTGTCATCACTGGTCTGACTGCGCTCACCTGACATCGCTGTACGGTCTGGCTACCCCCTCCCCCCCCCCCCCCCGGCGCGTCTCGGCATACCGGCCTATTCCACGAGCCATTTGCAGGAGTCACTAATGTGTGAATGGATGTGTCACATGTTTATCCGTTACCTGCAATCGCTTTCTACGGTATTATCGCATAACAAAAACAAAGATTTTTCCAGCCAACAAAATCATTCCGAGCTTATGTCCCCGCCACTTCAGATGCATCCGAACGTTTTGTTCATTCGCGGCCGTAGTTTCAGTCAACGATTTAATGTTGCCTATGTTATTCAACAGCTTGATGACTGAAGGGCGAAGGGATTAAATAACAAAAATCAAGGAATATTTCCTGTTGAGCTTACATACCGGCATATGTATCATATAGATATTGTAGGAGAAGATAGTCCCGTCTGTGAATCATCCCAAAAGGTGGAAAATATGCCGGTGGATTGGATGTACGTCTCATTATACAATGGTTGCATGAAACGTTGGATATACGTCTCATTATACAATGATTGCATGAAACGTTGGAATACGTCTCATTATACAATGATTGCATGAAACGTTGGATATACGTCTCATTATGCAATGATTGCATGAAACGTACTTGCATTGGCGTCGACAATGTAATCAGCAAGATTCACCCACAGTGTAACATGGGGTAATGAAGGTGACGAAAAGAGGAAATGTTAACAAGGACATTTAATCAAGCCGAGGAAGCTCAAATTGTTCTGGACTGAGAAAAGTCTCAAAAGTCGAAAGCCGTCAAGTGTACTGTTCAAAACCGTCAAATGTATTGTCAACCTCAACACGTTCAAAACCGACAAGAGGAAGTCCAAAAAACCGTCAAGTCCACCGGATGGTTTTCGCTGCATATACAACATGGCAAAATGGTCGCATCTGAACATTGCCGACATCCATTTCCTTGCAAGCCTGTGTTAGACATTTTCTTAATCACCGCCAAAACTTGAATCAAAAGTTTTACTTCTTCTATTGTAAATTAGTGATGTCTAAATGCAGATAGTAATGTTGACCTTGACCTTGTGACCTTGTGTTCTTATTTGATCACGAGATCAGAATCTCGGATCATGTCACCTGAGTTAGGAAACGCTTCAAACACATCGTCAGCAGCAGGTTTCTCACTGAATTGGCATTAGGGATGGTAATGGTGTCCTTAAAAACGAGAACCTAATGCGTGCACACCTCCAGCGTGCGTGTGCTCATGGAAGTGAGCGATGCCTCCTAACTCGGCTTTTAACCCCGTTTTGAGTCAGGTGAGTGTCACATGTCCTTGTGTCCTTGCTCAGAGTCTTCCACGGAATCGAAATTTACGGTAAGTGACTCTCCCGGCGTGAGAGCTGTGTACTGCTGTGATCCGTGCTGGGCGAAGAGTATTGGTGTTTTGGGGCGCGATGACGACAGGGGTCACTTTGCCTCCCTGTGCTACATCTAAAACCTCCTCATTCTAAGACGCACCTACCCACCAGAGTCGCTGCCGTGTCTGGAGTAAAAGCACTGCCCTATCATGGGGTCCCCACGCGATGCGTCTCCGTAACAGTTATAGCATGAGAACGTATGGTTTAGGGTGACTTAAGAGATGTGTTTACTGCCAGTGCCACATGCGTTGAAATACCAGGAAACATAGACGACTGCTCCTTAATCAGGCCGATTTGCAGCGACGTCTGTATCTTGGTGCGGCCTTGCGTGGTGTCTAAAGTAGCGTGTGTTTCCGTTTACAACGGCCGGCTGAACTTACGCGACGGTGCTCCATGGTCCACACGCTTTCATTAGTTGCCACTCGTTAGGATATTGTGCTCCAGACAAACCTACACCATCGGAAGCATGTTTGTGCAGACGCATCGCTCTGGTGAAATACAACCAGGAGATTATTATCGATATCGTATTGCTGAAAAGATGCCAAAGTTCCACTGCGGTGGTATAATATTGGGCGGGGCATTGTGTACCGGTTAGTGCGCTGATATGCTCTTCAGCGACTATCAAACGCATGGAGCTCGAGGCACATCAAGTCGATTCGATCCCCACGTGGCGTATCTCCACGGCTAGAAAGAAACGCTTTATAAATAATGTTATCGCCTTTTCACGGGCGGCTGTGTCATGACGCTGCTTGGCACGATAAAGATCCCTCAGCAGT